ATTTCTGTCGATGGTATGGTTGTAGGAATGTCTCCTTTACCTCTGATGGTATGAATTAGGGTTTTGTAGACGAACAATTTGCCTGTTCCTGCAAGACCACCTAAGAAGAAGCATATTTGTCGCGGATGGGAATGGCTGTATGCAGCGTATAAAACAGTGTCAACAGCTTGTTTTTGTTCTGTTTTTTATTTTGTTGCAGTGTTACGTGGCGAGGGACTGGTCAGCATGAGCGTCAAAGGTGGTCAATGAATGAGACAATGGAATAATGTCAATGACGGGTGTTGTAATTTTTGAAGGCTCAGGCCATGTGGTTGCAGCATGTTATTGATTTCCGCGAGAGTTTACATGTAAGCGGTGTGTGTCGAATGTTCACTTCACAAACTATATAGTGTTACAATAAAATATCTTTATTACACAACTAACCTACATCTGGAACTGCAATTACTCACAAGACCACACTACACAGTAATAATACGTCATATCCCTTTTCGTGCAATACGTCACAAAATAACAAACATTTTATAAGAATATCTTCCAATCTAGTAAAGATACTTGAAAACATGAACTCAAGTAACACACATTTAAAAGAATCCCAATATTCGCTACACCCCTTCCACCATCATACGTCACTGCACACTTTTTATTTCACGCCCATGAAGTATATTAATATTCTCATGTCCCAACCACTTTTTAAACCGAATTTTTTTTACACAATACTTAAATTGAGACGATTTCATTCCCGAGAAGAAAATATTACGCACCAAACATAATTGCGTTACTAATATATATATATATATATATATCAAGTATAGCGTAGTTATCGGGAATTATATTTTGCAAGCAAGTGAAATCATTATTGAAATATATATATATATACATATATATATCAAGTATAGCGTAGTTATCGGGAATTATATTTTGCAAGCAAGTGAAATCATTATTGAACAACACTAGCGCATCTATAAATAGCTTGCGTCTTGTTTGACCCGTATTCTTTGACCTTTGCTGGCGAATTATATATGTAGATAATTGAGATTAAGAGAAGAAAAACCATTTTTCGCCAAAGTTTCGTTTAAATGATTACTTAACAAGGAATAACATCAAAGAGTAGACAGGACTAACACTGGGCGATGCCGTGAGTAGTGCTGAAGACAGAGTGGAATGGAGGAGGATGGTTCCCGTGTCATCTGTGGCGCCCCAACGGTCCAACGGCTAAGAGACACGAGGATGAGGAACACCGAATAACATTAAGCTATATTAATTGTAAGAGTTTGTAGTGGTTGCAATTTTCCCCATTGATTGCGAAGCTTGTCTGTTATACCATAAAACATAAGCACCAGCAATTGCGTATGACCTGAAATTACTTGAAAATGATTGTCATTCGTTGTGAATATATTATAATTAAGCCCAATTACACACACTAGCTGACTAACTCACGGATTGAGTGACATATATAAAGAAACATGGTTGGTAACTGTATGTTTGATTTGTATTTTGATATCTTGTTTTATGTGTTTTGCACGACATTTGAAAATACATTTTTTATTTTTTTTTTCATGTGTGTAAGGATTCGCATATTTTTAAGTTTTCAAACCAATGTATTAAAGTAGATGTTCACAACATAC